CACATTGAGAGTTCGGTGAGAAACAAAGGCTTATTAAGCGGAACCATGTTTTCTGAGCCCCATTTCCTCGCCGGGTTATTATTGGTGACGGACGCACTTACTTCCACGGGCTTCCAGATAAATTTGTTTCCATTAAAAAGTATATTTTCCCCTAAGTTATAAATTAAGTCGATAAACTGCCTGTTAAGCTGCTTGTCTGTTGAGTAAATTTAGCAGCTGGCGGTGATGGAGGAGGAGCAGAGAGCGGGTACCGCTGCTGCTGCTGGAGCTGCAGAAGGAGGAGGACAATCGGTGAAGGATGAAGAAGAGGTAGAAGAGGTAAAAGAGGAAGATGTGACACATACAGCAACTCAAGGCGAAGAGGAGGAAGATGAGGACGCTCTTCCTCATTCAGAAATCTTGGATATTTTCGAGGAAGGACTTGCTCGACTCGTGCAGGATCCTTTGCTCTGTGACCTGCCAATTCAGGTGCTCCGTACACTACATGAACATGCGCATGTGCATCGCATACATACAGACAAGAGATTTGCATTTATGGTCAAAAGAGACATCCCCTCATATAATGAGTTATTACAAAGCCATTGGTATATTGGTATACACTCACCGGCCACTCCTAGTATCCTGATCCATCATAAAGGTGCTATGTTGGACTGAGATCTGGTGTCTGTGAATTCATTGTTGTGTTAAAGAAACCAGCTTGAGATGTTTTGAGCTTTGTGACATGCTGTTATCTTGCTGGAAGCAGCCTTCAGATGATGGCTACATGTGGTCATAAAGAGTTGGACATTGTCAGCAATAGTAGGGGGTATGTATGGGCTGTTGGGTTTAATCGACTCTCGGCTGGTACTAAACATCCCAAAGTGTGCAAAGAAAATATCCCCACATTGCAACAGAAATCAAGACACATCAGACAAGGCAACATTTTCCCAATCTACTATTATTCAGTTTTAGTGAGTGTGTGAATTTTAGCCTCCCTGGTTTTAGGTAACAGGAGTGTCGCCCCCCAGTGTGGTCTTCTGCTTTTGTAGGATGCCTGCTTCAGAGTTTGATGTGTTGCACGTTCAAAGATGCTCTTCTGATACCTTGTTTATAACAAACGGTTGTTGGAGTTACTGAAGCATTCTGGCTATTCTTATCTGACCTCTGGCTTCATCAAATCACTGGTTCTCACCTAGAGAACTGACGCTCGCTGGATATTTTCTCTTTTTCTCTGTAAACCCTGGAGATAGTTGTATGGTAAAATCCAAGTAGATCAGCACTTTCTGAAATACTCAGACCAGCCAACATGATATGCTGCTGTAAAAGTAACTTTTCTTCATCCTTTTGATTCTTGGTTTGATCTTCAGCGTGAAATCGGGACGATGCCTAATTGCTACCGTGGCTGTTTAAGTATCTGTAGAAGTTGAAAAGACTTGTCTTCCAAATTTTCCAGTGAGTGTATAAAGACACTAGTGTCTGGTTTTGTCAAAACACGCATGCTTAACTAGCAAAAATGCCGTAAC